ATATACAGTTACGACTGAAAAGTGAGTTCGATCCTCACTGGGTACCCCATATTTTCGGCGTTGTACTGTATCAAAGCTACGCTTAGAGAAAAGCTGCATCCTGGGGCGGTGTAATAGTTAACAACCTTGTCTCGCTAAAACAATTACGATTGAGTAGTGAATTCGATCCTCACTGAGTGCCCCATACATTCGGCCTTGTGCCACATCAAAACTACGCTTAGATAAAAGGTGCATCCCGAGGCGGTGTAATAGAAAACTTTTCTCGCTAGAACAATTACTAATGAGTAGTGAATTTGATCCTCACTGGGTGCCCCATACTTTCGGCCTTGTAACATATCTAAACTACGCTTAGAAAATCAATGGGTAAATTCATCTTCATCCTCCAGAAATAATCTTCTTCTTCTTCTTCTTCTTCTTCTTCTTCTTCTTCTTCTTCTTCTTCTTCTTCTTCTTCCCGTATTATGATTGATCAAGACTAACTTGAAACTATATTAATACACAGTGACCTCAAGTAAGCCTCTCATTCGATATGATCGGCGAACATATATTAATTAAAACTGTTCCCTACTTAATGGTAAAGAAATAATATGGTCAACAAGATAAAACCCCCACTTCTATGAGACAGACATAGATTAATGACAATCAGCCTGGCTCATTACCAAACCTGATGCCCGCCAAAATACGAGGCGTAATATCTTTTGCTAGTGGTAAGCGAATGCTTCGTAGGCGAATGATTTTCCCCCCGCCCCCTTGAAGAAATAGGAGTCCTCTAATGATGTCGAATTAGCTGTCACAATCTTAACAAAATTAAACAGACAGTGTTGATAATAAAGAAAGAAAAAAAAACCTATAAAAACAATAAAAGCAGAAAAGGAAAGAAAGAAGAAAGGACTAAACATCAAATGAAAGAAGACAAAACGTATGGTTGTTAGCAAAAGAAAACAGTCCAACTTGGCAATTACAAATTGAAGATGACAAAATAAATTAAGTATAAACATTTAAATATTTCGAAAGTTTTAACAGACAACGGGAATTGTGATGCCGAAATATGAAGACGCATTAGGATAGAAAAACATACCAGAAAGAAGTAAAGTATGATGAAACAGGAAAATTTAGTTAGAAAGTAAAGAGTGCTTAACGATTATGTAATATTTGTCCTGCTATATGGCAGTGAATGCTGGACAATCTCCTCACACATGAAGAAGAGACTTGAGGCAAGAGAAACAAAGAAAAGGGTGTTTAACGGTTATATAATATCAGTCCTCCTATATGGCAGTGAATGCTGGACAATCTCCTCAAGAAGAGACAGATGAAGAAGAGACTTGAGGGACAACAGAAACAAAGAAAAGGGTGCTGAACGGTTATATAATATCAGTCCTCCTATATGGCAGTGAATGCTGGACAATCTCCTCACAGATGAAGAAGAGACTTGAGGCAACAGAAACAAAGAAAAGGGTGATGAACGGTTATATAATATCAGTCCTCCTATATGGCAGTGGATGCTGGACAATATCCTCACAGATGAAGAAGAGACTTGAGGCAAAAGAAACAAAGAAAAGGGCGCTGAACGGTTATATAATAGTCCTCCTATATGGCAGTGAATGCTGGACAATCTCCTCACAGATGAAGAAGAGACTTGAGGCAACAGAAACAAAGAAAAGGGTGCTGAACGGTTATATAATATCAGTCCTCCTATATGGCAGTGAATGCTGGACAATCTCCTCACAGATGAAGAAGAGACTTGAGGCAACAGAAACAAAGAAAAGGGTGCTGAACGATTATATAATATCAGTCCTCCTATATGGCAGTGAATGCTGGACAATCTCCTTGAGGCACAGATGAAGAAGAGACTTGAGGCAAATGCAGAAACAAATGAAAAGGGTTGAGGCAACAGAAACAAAGAAAAGTTAACGGTATAAATATCAGTCCTCCTATATGGCAGTGAATGCTGGACAATCTCCTCACAGATGAAGAAGAGACTTGAGGCAACAGAAACAAAGAAAAGGGTGCTGAACGGTTATATAATATCAGTCCTCCTATATGGCAGTGAATGCTGGACAATCTCCTCACAGATGAAGAAGAGACTTGAGGCAACAGAAACAAAGAAAAGGGTGCTGAACGGTTATATAATATCAGTCCTCCTATATGGCAGTGAATGCTGGACAATCTCCTCACAGATGAAGAAGAGACTTGAGGCAACAGAAACAAAGAAAAGGGTGCTGAACGGTTATATAATATCAGTCCTCCTATATGGCAGTGAATGCTGGACAATCTCCTCACAGATGAAGAAGAGACTTGAGGCAACAGAAACAAAGAAAAGGGTGATGAACGGTTATATAATATCAGTCCTCCTATATGGCAGTGAATGCTGGACAATCTCCTCACAGATGAAGAAGAGACTTGAGGCAACAGAAACAAAGAAAAGGGTGCTGAACGGTTATATAATATCAGTCCTCCTATATGGCAGTGAATGCTGGACAATCTCCTCACAGATGAAGAAGAGACTTGAGGCAACAGAAACAAAGAAAAGGGTGATGAACGGTTATATAATATCAGTCCTCCTATATGGCAGTGAATGCTGGACAATATCCTCACAGATGAAGAAGAGACTTGAGGCAAAGACAGAAAAACAAAGAAAAGGGTGCTGAACGGTTATATAATATCAGTCCTCCTATATGGCAGTGAATGCTGGACAATCTCCTCACAGATGAAGAAGAGACTTGAGGCAACAGAAACAAAGAAAAGGGTGATGAACGGTTATATAATATCAGTCCTCCTATATGGCAGTGAATGCTGGACAATCTCCTCACAGATGAAGAAGAGACTTGAGGCAACAGAAACAAAGAAAAGGGTGCTGAACGGTTATATAATATCAGTCCTCCTATATGGCAGTGAATGCTGGACAATCTCAGATGATGAAGAAGAGACTTGAGGCAACAGAAACAAAGAAAAGGGTGCTGAACGGTTATATAATATCAGTCCTCCTATATGGCAGTGAATGCTGGACAATCTCCTCACAGATGAAGAAGAGACTTGAGGCAACAGAAACAAAGAAAAGAGTGCTGAACGGTTATATAATATCAGTCCTCCTATATGGCACTGAATGCTGGACAATCTCCTCAGAGATGAAGAAGAGACTTGAGGCAACATAAACAAAGAAAAGGGTGCTGAACGGTTATATAATATCAGTCCTCCTATATGGCAGTGAATGCTGGACAATCTCCTCACAGATGAAGAAGGGACTTGAGACAACAGAAACAAAGAAAAGGGTGCTGAACGGTTATATAATATCAGTCCTCCTATATGGCAGTGAATGCTGGAGTCAATCTCCCTCACAATCTCCGGTTATATAATATCACAGATGAAGAAGAGACTTGAGGCAACAGAAACAAAGAAAAGGGTGATGAACGGTTATATAATATCAGTCCTCCTATATGGCAGTGAATGCTGGACAATCTCCTCACAGATGAAGAAGAGACTTGAGGCAACAGAAACAAAGAAAAGGGTGCTGAACGGTTATATAATATCAGTCCTCCTATATGGCAGTGAATGCTGGACAATCTCCTCACAGATGAAGAAGAGACTTGAGGCAACAGAAACAAAGAAAAGGGTGCTGAACGGTTATATAATATCAGTCCTCCTATATGGCAGTGAATGCTGGACAATCTCCTCACAGATGAAGAAGAGACTTGAGGCAACAGAAACAAAGAAAAGGGTGCTGAACGGTTATATAATATCAGTCCTCCTATATGGCAGTGAATGCTGGACAATCTCCTCACAGATGAAGAAGAGACTTGAGGCAACAGAAACAAAGAAAAGGGTGATGAACGGTTATATAATATCAGTCCTCCTATATGGCAGTGAATGCTGGACAATCTCCCTCACAGATGAAGAAGAGACTTGAGGCAACAGAAACAAAGAAAAGGGTGCTGAACGGTTATATAATATCAGTCCTCCTATATGGCAGTGAATGCTGGACAATCTCCTCACAGATGAAGAAGAGACTTGAGGCAACAGAAACAAAGAAAAGGGTGCTGAACGGTTATATAATATCAGTCCTCCTATATGGCAGTGAATGCTGGACAATCTCCTCACAGATGAAGAAGAGACTTGAGGCAACAGAAACAAAGAAAAGGGTGCTGAACGGTTATATAATATCAGTCCTCCTATATGGCAGTGAATGCTGGACAATCTCCTCACAGATGAAGAAGAGACTTGAGGCAACAGAAACAAAGAAAAGGGTGCTGAACGGTTATATAATATCAGTCCTCCTATATGGCAGTGAATGCTGGACAATCTCCTCACAGATGAAGAAGAGACTTGAGGCAACAGAAACAAAAAGGGTGCTGAACGGTTATATAATATCAGTCCTCCTATATGGCAGTGAATGCTGGACAATCTCCTCACAGATGAAGAAGAGACTTGAGGCAACAGAAACAAAGAAAAGGGTGCTGAACGGTTATATAATATCAGTCCTCCTATATGGCAGTGAATGCTGGACAATCTCCTCTTTGAAGAAGAGACTTGAGGCAACAGAAACAAAAAGAAAAGGGTGCTGAACGGTTATATAATATCAGTCCTCCTATATGGCAGTGAATGCTGGACAATCTCCTCTCAGATGAAGAAGAGACTTGAGGCAACAGAAACAAAGAAAAGGGTGCTGAACGGTTATATAATATCAGTCCTCCTATATGGCAGTGAATGCTGGACAATCTCCTTACAGATGAAGAAGAGACTTGAGGCAACAGAAACAAAGAAAAGGGTTTAACGGTTATATAATATCAGTCCTCCTATATGGCAGTGAATGCTGGACAATCTCCTCACAGATGAAGAAGAGACTTGAGGCAACAGAAACAAAGAAAAGGGTGAACGTATAATATCAACAGAGACTGAGGCAAGAAACAAAGAAAAAGGGTGGCAAATGACACATTGAGGCAACAGAAACAAAGAAAAGGGTGCTGAACGGTTATATAATATCAGTCCTCCTATATGGCAGTGAA